TCTTCCTTTACAGATAAATGGCTTTTGATAGCAAATCTGTTGATACCCCTCCATTAATTCTAGCTACAAATTCGACTGAGGTTCTGAGTACACAGAAAAAGCTAGAGCAGGAGTACAATAACATTCAACGGGGCCTAACGATAATGGAAGAGGTGACAAAAACAAGAGCTGCAGGAAAAAAAAATTGATGTGCAATGGAACAAGAAAGGGCAAGCAATTAAATCCTCAAAATTCTTAAGTTATATTGGGGTAGTGGCAAAAACTACTGTGCCTATCATAGTAAAATCATGGCGCAAAGTAAATGAGGCCACGAAGGCTCTTATTTGGGATACTGTAGCAGTAAGTTACATTTTACTAAGTATATTTTGGTATAAATTATTTTTAAAATTAATGCATCTAATATGTTGTTTATTTAATTTTGCAGTCAGGATTTGACATTGATGAGAGTAAGCAAGATTTTGTCCTACAAAATGTTGAGAGGGCACTACAGTCTTTCAGATATTTCATCACACAGAAATATTTGAAAGATCCTAATGCTGAATTTGTAGCTCGAGTTCCTCCCTTATTACAGCCTTTGGTAAAACAAGAGGATTGAGATGCTTTTGTTGCCTCACAGTGTGAGAAGGAATTCAAGATATTAATGTTTCTTAAATTTCAAGTTTGGTGTTATTTATTGATTATATGTGTATGTACTAACAAAAAATTTTGTTATTAACTCGTCAAGGAATTAAGTACATAGAATAACGAGAGAGAAGCGAAGAACGAATATCCTCATAGAGCAGGGAGGTTGGGGTATACAGGCATTGAGTAGAAACAATTAGAGGAGGAGGGATCAGAGATTACCATATCCCGCCATAAGCTTTGGGCATTAGCATGCACTAATAAAGAAGGAATTATTGACAACCCCCACATGAAGGAGGTTACTGAAAAGATTGTAAGTATTATATTTATCTACTACTTAATAATTAATTATGAATATCCAAACTAATCATATTTACTCTACACAGGATTCCATCTCTTAGGAAGTCTCACAGGGCAACCTTCCTGAGGATGAGGATATCTTGGCTAGGGCGTTGCGAACTGCTGACCACCCTGGTCGTGTCAAGGGTGTTGGCTTCGGAGTCACGAAGAAGTAATATTTTGGCAAGATAAAAAAGCGAACATCAGCTTCTTCGTCTGAGGTCCAAGAGCTGAGATTAGAGCAAACGGTTATGAAGCAGCAACTACTAGCCCAGGCAGCATTAATTGACATGTTGTTGAAAGGGCAAGTCTTGGAGGACTTTGGGTGAGATTAGCCCTAGTCAGAAAGATAGTTGCACAGTCCCCTCAAAAAAACTACCTGAGGTAATATGTTTTACCTTATGAATTTGTCTAATTATTTTTATTTTAGAAACTGATTGTCATTGTTTGTTTAATTAGGATGAGAACGATTGCAATTGTTTGGCAAACACTCCTAAACGTAGAGTGGTTGCAACAAGGCATGTGTACAACATTCCCGAGGACACAATCCATAATCATTCCCTCTCGCCCGACTGTGTTAGAATTTTTCTACTTGTTACCATCAACCCAACTATCCATTGCCTGTTCCTACTGATGAGGCACAGACGGTAGGGGAAGCAGTAGGGAGCTTCGTTGCATGGCCTAGCCACCTTGTAATAGTGGTAACACCAAAGCCGGCAAAGGACCCATTGCCTCCAAAAAAAAAGGTATGGTTTAAATAGTTATTTATAATTTTATAATCTAATTATAAATATCTAACTTTTTTGTTGTGCAGCTGAGAGGAAAGAGCAAGCTAAAAGGTAAGTCGGGCCATACCAAAGAGTCAGCCACCGTTTTGCAATATCTAACAGCACCAGTGCTAGCTGTAGAATACAAATATCGTGCCTCTCTTGAGACATATGCGATGGCTACGATGATGGCTCGTCAAGTTGCGATTGGGGATATCATTAGTTTTGATGATGGGCTATATGGAAGATCGGGTTTGTTTGAAGTTGTTCGGGATGAAATTTTAAATGAAATTATCAAGCACAAAATGGCCAGTACTAGTCTGATGAGCTTCTACATGAGGTATGTCTTCGATAATGCTCAGTTAATTACTTAAATTATATATATGTGTGTGCGTGTGTGCACGCGTGTGTATTAACCTGATTATTTTTTTACCTAAGCCACCTTTATACCTCATTTGTGGTTCCTGGCAGCCTTGAGTCGATATTCAAGCTAATTAATCCCCACGATGTCTCTGCCTATAATGGAATTACAAAGGAAGCTCTTGAAGATCAAGCAAGGCAGCTTTTAAATCAATTTAAGGTTAGGGGAGCAAGCAATGATACTTTATTTCTTGCTCCTTACTGTCAAGGTAAGCCACTTTCTAGCTACTTTTGGTGCAAGTAAATATTTTTTATATTTACTTATTTGATAACACTTGTTATTTCTTATTAGGGGGCACTGGATGCTTATTGTGGTTAACCCTGTTGCTTCAAAAATTTGGTATCTTGATCCTCTTAATGGAGAACCAAGCAATATGCTAGATATGGTAAAACTTTTTAATAAGTAAGTTGAATTTTCATCAATTGTTATTTTAATATCCATATATATTGAATTTATAACATTTATTCTTTATTTCTTTCTTAAAGTTGTGGTCTTGTATCGTACTGCGACCAACAAGACCTTGTCCCCTAGCTTAAGGGTATTGGACTCTTGTGAGACATGGGTCACAGTTAAGGTAAACCTAATGGACTGAGTTTTTAATTAACAAACCGTGGCCTTTTAACTATTATTTTATTGATATGTGATTTTTTTTTGCATAGTGTTCACTCCAGCCAGATCAGAGCAATGACTGTGGCTATTGCTCTTGAAGGACATTATCACCTATGCCCCTACCACATTACCTAACAAGGTATATATTAAATTTAATGATACTTAAATTATAAATTTTAACAACTTTTGTTAGATAGCTATTAACTTGAATTTGTTGTAACTCTTTGCATACAGTACTTCGAGGATGCCTACTGTATTCAGTATGCAGCTGCACATATAGAGGAAATCCTTAAAGAGGTAGCTCAGGCCGTGTTTAACATGTGGATAATAGCAGTGGTTAGGCCCAATTAGTTTTGGTATACACATTTATTTTTTTGGTCAATTTTATATTTGAGGCCAATTAATTTTGAAATTTAAACTTGTAAAGTAGGTAAAGTTATAGATTTTTTATGGCATCAGGTTTAGAGTATAGGTAGATATAAGATAAATTAAAGATATTTAGATTGTAATTTCAATATAAATAATGATTCAATTGTTTTTTATTGTTGGCTGGTTGGTATATATATTTGATTGCTTTGTATTTGCAGGGGTTGCTTTTTAAGCAGCCCCCAACTTTTAAAAAACACATCATAAATACTTGACAGTTATTTAGAAAGAAACGTCAAGTATAAGTTTATTTGACGGTTATTTCAAAATAACCGTCAAGTATGTACGAATACTTGACGGTTATTATGAAATAATTGTCAAGTCTTTGGCATACAAAACTTGTGAAAATATTTTAACGCTTGTTACAAAATAAATGTCAAATTTTTGCTTAAGTATATGCAAATGTTTAAGTGATTACTTGACAGTTATTTTAAAATAACCGTCAAGTAATCTCTAAAATATTTGACGGTTTTTAACCGTCAAATAAATATATGGCGCCTCATTACTTGAACGGTTAAAAACCGCCAAATAATTTCTAAAATAACCGCCAATAAAGGAGTATTTTGTAGCAGTGTTTTCAAAAGACCTTACTTGAAAAATTTGATTCGACATGTACTCCAAATGCATACCTACAAAAATTCTTTCATTGACTTCGCAGACAATAATAACAATGGCATATAGCAAATCTATAGAAAAGGAAACATGTTGCTTTCATTAACAACCAAATCAAAGCAAAAATTCTACATGAGCAAGAAAAACATGCAAGGACTATAAGGGATTATCGTCTTTATTTACCAACCAATATGCACAAATATTTTGTTACAATGGAGTGTGGTCAATTAGCTGAGTTCAATTGTGTTGACATTTACACCACCCAATGAATAAAAAAATTGTCTACAATTTAGAGCAAGATGGTTTTATCCAAATAATTTGTCCTCCACCGCATCGATGACTCTCAACAAGCACAAATCAGCATCCAGCTTGGATTCATAAACTGCATAAAAATAAAAAGAAGTGAATGATGGAAAATTAGATCAATCTTCACAAGCCAGATGAAATATTTTAATGTTTGGTTAGAATGACGGAGTAATTTACGCCATTGACAGTGACACTTAACGCACATCATGCATGTGCACGGTATACATACTCTTCTAATTTTGGAAGGTTTTGTTTGTTCACATTTTGGTTCTAAGTAAATCATCTAGGAGACAAATACTCTTGCTCTAAGACGCAATGCATCAGTGCATCGTTACTGACAAAGATCACCAGCAACACTTGAACTTAATACTTTTTCTGCGTTCATGTGGTTCAGTCTTGCCAATTGTACATCCTCATTAGCTTCAAAGTTCTATTTATACATGCCAATACAGGTTTCAATCAAATCTTCCCATAATAAAATGAAATTAATGATCTTGTACGAAAGTTGGGTCGGTATTAGAATAATAATTACATCAAGAAACTGACACCCTTATACGGAAGGTAGGTCTGTGCGTGCACTGTAATGCCAATTGCAGTATGTTGAAGTCTTTCCGAGAAGCTAAGCTAGCAATCTTAATTAAAAGTTGTAGAAAATCATGGATATAGAAGAGAAAGAAGGACAGTAAGATAAACAATAATCTTACCTTTCACATAATCATCTATTTCCAGTTCGATATCCTGATTGGCGATTTTGCCTACCTATCCACATCAACTCATATCAGGATCGATATGAGAGCAATTAACAATTCAGAGAAAGATATTCATGTAAGAATGATCCTGTGCATAGAGTACAGTGGTATATATAGGATATATTGCTTCATAACTAACATAACCACTAACTACTAACTTCTTTAACATGCTCCCTCAACCTGAATCTCTCTGCTACACATGTTCATCTTTTTCTATTACACCCCAGCTCAATGTGAGCCTTTCCTTCAGAATCCTCTAGCTTATATCTGAAATATAAGAAGGTTGCATTAGTAATTGGCTTTGTGAACACATCTGCTACTAGCTCTTGAGAAATGTGCCAAACCGCAATATGTTTACTAGTCACCTTTTCTCAAAGTATTAGCTATAGATCAATGTGTTCAGCGCGTGATTCAAACATCAGATTCACAGACAATGCTACTGTACTGTAGTTGTCAGGATATGAGAGAGAAAAACAATTCAGAGAGAGATTTTGCATTACTGAATGATTTTGTGTGTAGAGTAGAGTCCACGGGGGCATATATAGGATACATTGGCTTCATAACTAACTAACTAACTAACTATAGCTAACCATAATCCCATAACATAACTAGCATAACCACTAACTACTTACTATGACTGCCAGAATTGTCAAATCATGCATTCTTTTCTTGAATCTGCGGTTTCAAAATGCAAAATAATGTGACAGAGAAGAAGAAAAGATTCAATACTTAAGTTACACACCACAAAAATATAAGTCTGCTCATCAAGAGAAGCATTTTCAAGGTAGTCCTTGATTGAAGTTACACCTATGGAATCAGCTCCATCCAAGCAGCCTTCCTTACGTTCATAGTCAAGCATAGCAGCTAGTTACTTAAAAACTAAATATGGTAAAAATGCCAAGACCATCATGCTAACCAATTAACTTTGAGTTTGCAGGCACATTATCTCGCAAGTCAGTGATTTTATGACAAAGGACTTCATCGGTCACAGGATCTATTATCATTCCATTCTCGAATAACCCACCTACAAGGATTCACCAGTATTATATTAATATGTATGCAACAGAGTAATAATTAATAAATGAACTATCATCAGGAACTTGGTAAAGTCAAATAGCAGGTTACTATTGCCTTCAAACGTATTAAATATGAAGTGAGAACTGAGAAAACAAAAATTACTCACCTAACAGATTTTCAAATTCTCTCCGGTCATTTACTGGCCAGGACTCGGGGTTGAGCCAATAATAACCCTTGGGTCCAAAATTGACATAGACAGAACGTAAACCTCCAGCAGAATTGAGTTGGCTTGATAAAATTAGTAGTTGTGGCTGAAGACATAACACGCATGAATAAGTTGGACGAACAAAAGCTTAGTTTTTGCATGAGATTAGATAAGAATACAAATTTCAAGCAAGTGGAAGACATGTCACGTGTGGAAAGGTCACGTCAAGAAAATCATTATAGCTTACAGTCCAAATTAATAGTTAATTGGCAGCAATATCAGGCCACAAACTAAGAAATGAAGCTTTAAAACTGCTTTAGGGCTTGCAATAACATAAATAAGGAAAAATTTTACCGGTTAAAGTTCATCACATGTACAGTAGATCTACTATATCTAGACTGGCTTGTAAATATGAATTAAGGGTTTGAATTCACCAACCAACATGTAAGTTGCAGCAAGATCTCCAATATCATCTACGAGGTCGGGCTCAGCCTGCATGAGTACAAGGATGATAAATAACATTATAAGATCCACTTTTTAGACGACTTTCTATAACATAAAATTGAGTTTCTGAATCGAAACTGTAATGATAATTTATAACGATTTGAATACATTATAATGTTCATCCAAAATTCCTTCGATTTTCGTTTCCATTTTATTGCATTGGCACAGAGTACATGTGAAAAAAATAGCGAACAGAGATACTAATTAGCACTAATAATTGTATTATAGTTTATCATTGATTATCGTACAAGAAATTTCTCATTCGCGATCTCCGAACCATTTGATTGATTTGTTTTACCGTATAGCCCAATCTTTAAGCAAATACCATTAATTAATTAACTTTCTTGCAAGTATCAATGACTTCTAAAATGAAGATTCAGATGTCTCTTTACTAACATCAATCAAAATGCCAATAAAGATTAATGTTATTTTATACAGTAAATCAGAAGTCATGGACGACACTTAATCAGCAATTTTACCCCGGAGGCGTCAATGTCATCTCCAGGATTGTCAAATGAAAGATCGTTGATCAAGAAAATGACGCTGCTTAATTCTTGAAATTGAAACGCTTCCTCACCCGCGGACGACATTTCTTCGTCGTTGTTAGGATTGGGACCCACTTCCATGAGCTTGCCTTCGTTGCAACTTTCTACTCTTTTGGGAGAAACGTTACGTTTGAAATCCCCGGGCTATCGTGCCCGCCGCTTCCTTTTGTATCGTGCACGTTGGGTTTGGAGGATTGGAAAATGACAAAACGATACCCTTAAAAAATGCGAATAACAATTAAGTACTATAAAATTGATTATTATTATTATTATTATTATTTAGTTATCCTTAAAAACTTGCATGACATTTTCATTGTTGATGAAATGACTAATTTGATTAAGTTATCGACTAAAACATAATAAGAAATGATATATAAATTTGTTTTATCAACCAAATAAATTAACAAAGATTATTTCAATTAATAAGAATTTGACTTATAACTCATGAAGTTATAAGAAAAAATTCTGCTATTAATGTAAAAACTTTATTAATGGGTAACTTGTAAATATTTTGTAAATACTCTTGGAAGCATGTCTTGATTTTGTAAACTTTTGAAACTCAACTCATCTAAACTTTCAACAACAAAAAAAAATGCAACTAAAATGATCATTTTTTAATCAATTTATAAATCACATATTTGCAAAACAAAAAAAAAATCATTTCCTATCTATTTTAGTCAATATGGAGCTCAAAATAGTCATTTCTCAATATATAATAGGTACTATTTTTAGTATTTACACTTACCCCTTCCAAATCACAATATAAGCATTATTTGATCCAAAATATAAAGTATTGGATAAGTGTTATATATATATATATATATATATATATATATATATATATTAATTACACCTTTACTTTATTGAATAATTAATGAAGGTGTTTTAAATAAATCAGATGTTATACTTATTACATTTAGGGCTCAATTGAAAAATATGTGAAAATTTTTAAAAGATCAAGATCTTAATCAATTTTTTTAAGAAACATAAATTAGTTAACAATGACTTATATTATAGTCTACAACGAGTAATTAATAAACAAATTTGCAAAAAGAAAGTACTCATTCTATTCAAAAATGTGAGACATTTTTAATTTTTCGAGGTGTAATTATTACCTTTTTTAAAAAATATCCTTATTGATAAATGACTTTATGTTTATCACAGGGTGTTTAATAGAATTAAATATGAAAAGATAAGATTAATTTGAAAGTAAGTAACTACTTTATTAGGGGTGAGATTCTGATAGAAATATCTTATATTTTTTAAATGAAGAGAGTAGCTATTTTCTATTCCCTTTTAGTCAATAGCCCAACCAAAATAATCATTTCCTAATGCAAAACAGTCACTAGGAGCAAATATGTCATTTTGTCAAAAATTAAATTTAAAATGTTAGACAAGTTACTAAAGACTAAATAATACTCTTTCCAATCTTAATTGTTTGACATCTTCTAAAAGAAATTTTTACTTCAAAATATAAGATACTTTATAATTTTTAAATTACTTTTTTCAAGTTTATTCTTTCTTTATTAATGTGAGATGAAATTGTGTTGTTTATGAGAAAGTAATTAAAGCTTGGGCATGAATTGTGTTATTATTTATTGTCAAGGATAAAAATAAAAGAGTATCTCATTTTTTTAATGATATTATGAAAAAAATAAATTTTCTTAAGATAAATGAAATAATTAAAAATATCTTAAAATAAAAATTAAAGCAAATAGTTATTAAATTTCACGCTACCTAATTTTATTTATGTATTTTATTTTTTTTTTATTCTCCCTTTTTGTTTTGGCGGCATGCCAAGCATAACTGGGTTTAAACAGTCTTGTTATTTTTTCACTGCTAATGATTTGCTGTAGCGCTATGTTGGGTTTTGAAAGCTTATTAAAGTTTGGATATACTTTCGGATTCAAATAATCACTTTGTTATGATAAGTTGTGAACTTGTGATTGCAAATGACTCGTGATGTTAATTGTATTGTGAGAACATAAAATTCTTCCATAATTTTTTTATATAATTTATTAGTTAAACTTTACAAAACTATATTTTTTTTATAAACGGTCAAAATTATATACAATAAAAGGAGAAGTTATAAAGATAAAGTCACCAATAAAAAAATTAAACAAGTTTGCAATTAAGCCCTTAAAATTTTCCATGAATAGTAGGGCTGTGAAAAAGTCCTCTGATTTAGTCTAACACAATTTGACACGAAATGGTCCTGTCCTATCTGATCTGTATAAACACGGGTCCTTTAAGAACAAAAAAATCAAGCTATTTTTTTGAGTTGGACTGAATAAGAAACTAGACATCTAGACCAATTGATCCAATCCGGTCCCATTAATTTATTTAATATATTATAATTAATTTTTTTTGACAAATACTTCAAGTATAATTGATACTAAGGAGATGATTACATGAAAATTTGTTAAGTTTATTTTTAAATTATTGATGTAATATAATGTTATTGAAATTTGTTTAGTGTTGTTTTTATTGAAAGTTATAAATTTAAATAATTTGGATTGTATATGAAATATTTTTTTCTTATTATTGAAAATTAGTATGGATTTATTATAATTATAAATATTTTTATTATTTTAATTAAGTTTATTAGGTTAAAATAAATTTTAATTCTCATAAAAAAAAATAAAAAAAAATAATTAAGTGAGTAATAAAATAATAAAATTAATCTTTTAATTTTATGAATCAAATTTGATTCTGTTACTCTTTAAATTATAACTAGATAAAATCAAATTATATGCCTAATCCAATTATTTTTATAAAAAAAATCAGACTTTGAGTTAGGTTAAATTTAGTGCCGTCCAGTCCTGCAGTGCTAATGAATAGTGATTTATATATGTGGCTTCGTGTATTTTCGTTCGGCTTCGTGTATTTTCGTTCACTTCTTGTATTTAACCTGGTCTCCTTCACCGGCAGAAGGTCATTTACTTACCGTCGTTTGAGCAGACGGCAGTAGTTCCTACGGCAATTCGGTAGGCATTCGGCGGAGCTTCACTTTTATGATAATATTATTGCCGCCCTCATACTATTACTCCATGCTACCTCGCATTGCTCAAGTCTGAAGCTCGTTGTCGCACGGTCTTACCCTGCCTGTCTTCGTCACTCCCGGCTCCAGTGTCAGAACTGCGGCTTACGTAAGTTCTTTGCGTTTCTCTCAATACTCATTTGCCTTTCCTAAGTAGCTCGAATGTGCAACAGAGTTGCTGATAGAAAGCCTCAAGGGGCAATAGGTTGATATGTATTCGCTTTTGTTGAGTTATATTTTTTGTCAGTTAGATTGTTGCCTTTGCTTCTGGTTGTTGTTTCATGTAGAGTTTCATTTGGTACTAATTTCATCCCCAAAGAAAGAAATTTGAATTTTTTTTTAAATTTCATTTTTGCACCTGTAAGATGATAACGTAGCACATGTGTTTGACTCAGCCTACGATTACAAAGGAGAATAGGGAAATAGAAAATTTTAGGACTAAGCATTTATTTGCAAACATGTCCATATATGCAGATTGCAGAAACTCAAGTGCATGAACATCAACAACTGTTATAAATTACTTTTGCAATTATAAATATCAGATGGAGTCGGTACTCAAATGAAAGAAACATTTATTTGGACTGGATGATAACTTTTACGTTTATTTGCATTATTACATTTCAGTACTCTTTTCATCCTGATTAGACTACCCATATGAACAATTTTCTGCTGAGAAGATTCCATCCTTTATGTCTCAGTTCTCTGTTACTTTATCACCTGTTAGAATGCTCTATTCTTTGCTTCTTGTATTAATATGTTCTGGATTTTAATTTATGATATTAGACAGAACAATTTCTAATGGACAGCAACAACAGGAGGAGTTTATATTGAAGCCTAGATTGGTGTTGCTGCCATTTGATGCTGCTGTTATTTTGTTGTATTGTTAAATTTTCATTTGATGCTATTCTTGTTATGTTGTATTGTTGTGTCCTATAATTCTGTTGTTCTATATGCTATTGTCAGTGAGATCATTGTCTTGAATTTAGATCTCAACTATCTTTAGGTTGATTTTTTTTAATTCGGATTTATTAAATTGTTATTCAAATCATTGAGTTTTGTTTAAATAACATGTAGGCCCATGGAGATTTTGGTAGGCTCAAAGCCTACTTAAGGCCTTCAATGCCTAATTCCTTAAACCTTTTTAAAGGCCTCCATATTAGGTATTCCTTTAAAAAGGTTTATTGCATAAAAACATGTACACATGCTCAGGTTTAGGTTCAGGCTTTAGGTTCTTGTTATAGATTAAGGTCTATTTGGTCAAAGTTTGGCTTAGCCTAGCTTGTTCCCATCCCTAATCTTTGATTGTTGGTCTGATGCCTTGTTAAAGCTAGTTGATTTCAGTGTTTTGATTCAATATTGGGAAAGTGTTGATCGACAGATTTCTGGTCTGATTCCTTGATAACTGCTCCATATTTCTTCCTCCCACTTTTGTATCCCTTGATACTTTTTTCTCCAGTTCTTTCATCAATATATATTTCTTCAATTCTGTATTGTAGACAATGATGCATGGAAATAATAACTCAACAGGGGATGAAGAACACAATGATAGTGCCATTGAAGAACATCCAGGAATTCCACTTGCACCATGCTCTCAAAGCTCTGAAACTGGAGTGTATTTTATTCTTGAGAGAGCCTCACTTTGTGTTGCTAATGTTGGGAAGGTATTCACTTTGATTAACTTCTTGGTAGTAGTGAGCCTAGAATTCCTCCTATTAGAAAGAGTTCTATAAAACTGATGCAAAAACGTTTGGCACAGTTATTTTTATTTTCAATGATTTTAAATCTCTAGGCAATACCTAAACAAATTTATTCAGTTTGGGGAAAGTTTGGTACATTGAAAAGTTATTTGAAGAAAGGAAAAAATGATAGGAAGTATTTTTATTTTGTTTGGTAACCAACTACCAAGTGAAAAAGCTTTCCCCATGAAACATGCAGGCTCTAAATACACTGAGTTAGGTGGGGATGGCACTTAAAATAACTAGAGAACCAAATTGAATCATTGACATTTGTAAAATTAAAAAAAGTAATTTCCAAAAACTGTTATATGTCTATGCTATAAAAAAAAAGAAACAGTTCACAGTTATTTTTTGGCATCTCTTTAAAATATATATAAAAATTGTTGTAAATATTGTCTTTTATATTTTTATGCTATATTTTATAATTCATAATGTTATTAATGTTTGATTTATTTTAAAATTTTGAATTATATTTTTCGTGGATGCAGATAAAATTATATCATATTTTTTAAAAGCTGTTTCACGAATACAAATACTTGTTTACAGAAACTGATTGTTTGGGTAATATCCACAAACAAATCACGGTCTTTCTATTTAACTTTCTTTTCTGTTGTTTTTGTCTCGTCTCGTTTGTGTTTTTGCACCCCCCCCACCCAAAAAAAAAAAAAAAACTTTTGCCTTACGTTTGTGTGAGATATCTTTCCTTCATTCTTAAACAATTTGAAGGGAAAAAGAATAAGAATAATTCTTTGTATCTTGCTGAATGATTATTCATATATTTGGAATTTTTGTTGGCCAATATATGAAAATGGGCTTTTAACATTTTCTATCTTCTTTCAGAAATACCGGATATTGAATCCAGATGATCATGCCACTTTTCTGCGGAAGCAAAATAAGAATCCTTATGATTTTAGACCTGATATTGTTCATGAGGTCAGTAGTCTATGATCAAGTTATGCAAAGTGGCCAAATATGAAGTGATTTAGATTATGAATTTCCAGCAAGTTATTCTTGCAGCAGAGTAAAACCCTTGCTTTGGTTAATTATGTGAATGCATTCACAAACTTTTTGGTTGTTGAGGAACAGATATGTTCCAATATTCTGTTTATGTTTATTTTCTTTCTTAGTTTTTGTAGATTCCGTTAGTGGACTCTTTAGCCTCCGTATTTTTTAGTTGAAAATTAATATGAATGTTCATATAGCATCTATACAATGTGGAAACCTATCCTTTTTCTTGATCATTCTGCAATCTTTCTTGAATTTAGGCCCTCCTTCAAATTATGAGTAGTCGGCTCCACATGGCTGGTAGGTTACGTGCTGTATTTATCCAAACCGATCAAGGAGTTCTCATCAAAGTTTCACCACATGCTAACATACCAAAAACTTTGGCAGGCTTTTGTAACATGATGGGTAGGTTTTTCTACTATGAAATGTATTATTACATCCATGTTTTCATTTAACGCAATCACATTCATGCCATGATTTCAACTTTTCCACAATAAATGTAGTGGAGTTATTGCAGAAGTTCCATATCAAAGCTAAGAGCAATCATGCAACACTATTGCGTGTAATTAAAAATCCTGTCACTAAACATTTACCTGCCAGCTCCCACAAAATAGGTGAGTGTTGTCAGACAGGTAACACTAACCTGTCAATACGTAGTCTCAATAGTGTGAAGAGGATATAGTCTCTTGAATTTTTTAAGGTGTTTGTTATTAAGTTCTCTTATAAAATTGAAGCTTGCTGATATATTCTGTTTGGGAAAACATAATTTTTTGTCCCTTTGGTTTCATCGGGTTTTGCTTTTAGCTCCTGTAGTTTTTTTCAATATTTTTAATCCTTATAAGGGGGACTAAAAGCATTGAAAAACCTGAAACTATAGGGATCTGAAAAACAGATGTCATCCAATATTTTTGAAACTATAGAGACTAAAAGCAAAACCTGATGAAACTATAGAGATTGATAGTTATGTTTTTCCCTTTTTTTTTTTAATAACTCATCACGCATCGTGGTCTTCTAAAAAATGATGCTTCCACTTGTTATAACATATGGACCTATCAGGAAAAAATCTTAAAAATCGAAGTGGGTTTTTTACTTATAGCCCCCCCCTAATTTTTTACTTATGCTAGTGTAGGCCTATCTTTTAATTCATCAAAGACTGCTCGGTTGAGAGACTACATCAGTAATGCTGCCCATCATGAGAACCTTGTGTTTGTGGTGAGCTTGATGAAGCCTTCATGCAAATTTGCAACATGAATTTTGCTCTCGTCTCACTAATGGATCTGTGTAAATAACTATTATTCAGGTCGGTGCAATGGCTCATGGAAAAATTGAAGCGGACTATGTGGATGATCTAATATCAGGTTGTTTTTCAACGATATTGAGTAAATTTAAATTTAAAATTCATGCTAATTTCTGATATATGAGGCTATGTCAGAATTTCTTGTAGAAAGAGTAAACTTGTATTGCTTATTGCAATTTTTTTTTAATTAATGGATAATGAATGCCTTAAACTGGGTTTGGATGGAGAGAAAAGTGAGAGGAAAATAGAGAAAACTAGGAGGAGAAATTTCCAAAAATAGTAAAAAAAAATTTAGGAGTTTTCTCTTCTAGTTTTCTTTCATCTCTATTTTTTTTTTTTTCCATCCAAACGAAGGGTTAAGGTTGATGTACTTTTCTTGGGTTTGGTCAAATCCAGTATGCTGTTTTGTATTTTGTTTTGCTAGGTCGACAAATAGGGGTAAGTAATTTAATTAAAAGGATTGTTATCAAAAAGAAAAAAATAATTAAAAAGATGAATTGTTCTTTTTTCTTTTATCAAGGATTGAACTGTTAAAACAAAAAACAAAAAACCGAAGATCTACGGCTTCGATTTCTTTGTATTGTTGGACAAATTATTAGTTTCTATAATTAATGGTAGGATCAAAGACAATTTTGCTTTCCACCATTCTAAAGTATTTTCACCTTCTGTTGTGTCATTCTCACAGCTTTCTGTACTAATTTCTGTTTCTACTATTTACTTCTCTTGTCTTATATGTAAGGTGGAGAGAGTATTTATTTTGATTCTATTTATAGAGTACTTCAGTAATTATTGTATATATCTTTATCCTTTTGCCCTTATTAAATGTTGAGAAGGTTATGAAATGTTAGAATATTTTATTTTTAAAGTACGCATATTTAATAAGGACAAAGTTAAAAGAGGTTTAATGTGTTTCTTAGTTCCAATAAAAATAGTGAAAGTAATTTGTAAATAGAATTGAAGAGAGTACTTTATATTGTCTGTACAAGTTGTATTACTAATTGTTATTATTGTGTTGTAATCATCATCATTATTATTGTGCAAGTGAGGGTCATTGTTTGGTTTTTCATTTGTCTCTTTTTATATTGGTTTTGCAGTTTCTGGTCATCCCTTGAGTGCAGGAACTTGTCTTAGACGTATCTGTATTGCACTGGAGAAAAACTGGAAGATCATGTGAATTAAATTATGTCTATTTTGATTTTACATTTGAGTGTACACACACACACACACACACACACACTCTCGCATAGGTCGATGGCAAAGTTTTGTTTTCTTTTGTTTCAAATCTCATAAGGCCTTGAGTATATTAATCAAAGTCATATACCTGATTTTCAATGGGATTAGGTTCAAGTGAACAAAATCATGCTTGTTGAATTAAATTATGTCTATTTTGATTTTTCATTTGAGTATATATATATATATATATATGTATACTAGCATAGGTTGTTGGCAAAGTTTTGTTTTCTTTTGTTTTAAATCTCGTAAGGCCTTGAAGATATTAATCAAAGTCATATACCTGATTTTCAACGGGGTTAGGTTCAAGTGAACAAAATCATGCTTGTTGAATTAAATGTTGTCTATTTTGATTTTACATTTGCTTGCAAGAAACAAAATGGCGTGGAGAAGAAGTTAAGGATATTCAAGGTTTCAAACTTTGGTATACAGGAAAAGTAAGCGCACGCAATGGAGTAGGTATCATTATGGATAAGGAGTGGAAGAAGAATGTTGCAGAAGTTAGCAGAATTGGAGATAGAATTATTTCCTTAAAAATGATAATTGGACGTGAGACTGTTAATATTGTTAGCGCTTATGCGCTACAAATCGGGACAGAAGCCAGTCTTAAGGAATTATTTTGGGAGGATCTGGAGGGGTTGATTCGACACATATCATAAAGTGAAAAGATTTTTATTGGAGGAGACTTTAATGGGCTTGTTTGGAGGGAGGCTGGTCAGTATACGAGGGTGCATGGTGGTCTTGGTTTTGGAGAGTTAAACAATGAAGGACAAACTCTTCTTGATTTCTCATTGGCGTATGATTTTAAGATTGCCAACACTTGTTTCAAGAAGAGAGATGAGCATCTCATCACTTACAAAAGTGGAGCCTCAAGGTCACAGATTGATTTTCTTTTGGTTAGGAACACAAATAGAAGACTTTGTAAAAATTGTAAGGTGATCCCTGGAGATGCTGTAACGACACAACATAGGGTCCTAGTCCTTGATGTGTGTATTATGAGTAAAATCCAAAAGCGTCGACAAGTAGTAGCACTAAGGATTAGGTGGTGGCAATTAAAAGGTGAAAAGCAAGATATTTTCAAGCGAAATCTTTTGGATAAATGAATTTGGGAATCCCAGGAAAGTGCTAACATCATGTGGGAGGATATGGCTAAAAAGATACAGGAGGTTGCAAAAGTAGTTTTGGGAGAATCAAAAGGTTCTGGTTCGAGAGATAAGGAGTCTTGGTGGTGGAATAATAGTGTACAGGAGAAAATCAAGTATAAACTATTTTAAAGCCATACATTTGTGTAATAATGAGGAAAATTGAGAGAAGTACCGTATGGCTAAGAAGGAAACTAAGAGAGCTGTGGGTGAAGCTCGTTCTAAAGCTTTTGAAGAATTTTATAAGAGTATTGAGATGAAAGAAGGAGAACGAAACATTTATAAGATTGCCAAAAGTAAGGAAAGAAAATCAAGGGATCTAGAACAGGTAAGGTGTATTAAGGATGAAGAGGGAAGAATTTTATTTACAGATGATGAAATTAAAAATAGATGGGAGACTTATTTTTCCAAACTTTTCAATGATGGAGAGGGTTCATATAGTAACTTGGAGGATTTAGTAACTGGTGAAGGAGAACAAAATTTGTCATTCTATCGAATAATACGTGATAAGGAGGTAAAGGAAGCTCTTAAGAAAATAGCAAATGGTAGAGCCAACGAATCTGATTGTATATCTATCGAAGTGTGGAAATGTTTAGGTAAAGAAGGGGTGAGATGGTTAACTAAGTTATTTAATGTGATCTTACGGTTCAAGAAAATGCTTGATGAGTGAAGGAGAAGTACATTAATTCCTATTTATAAAAATAAAGGAGAATTCAGAATTGTACTAACTATAGAGGGATTAAACTCATGAGCCACACAATGAAATTATGGGAGAAAGTAATTGAGCACAGGTTGGGATTGGAGACAAGTATTTCTGAGAATCAGTTTGGTTTTATTCTAGGTAGATCAAATACAGAGGCGATTTATCTATTAAGGGGATTAATGGAAAAGTATCGTTGTAAAAATAAAGATTTACACATGGTTTTTATTGATTTGGAAATAGCTTATGATCGCATACCAAGAGAAGTGTTTTGGAAAGCGTTGGAAAAAAAGAGAGTACGGATTGCTTATATTAAAGCCATACAAGATATGTATGAGGGGGTAAAAACTAGTATAAGAACATCTAGTAGTCAAATAAAGGATTTTTCTATAAAGATTGGACTACATCAGGGATCATTTCTGAGTCCTTATCTATTCAACTTGATCTTAAATGTTTTGACGGAACATATTTAAGGGGAAATTCCCAAATGTATGCTCTTCGCAGATGATATAGTTCTTATAGCAGAGACAAGAGAAGAGGTTAATTACAAACTTGAGTTATGGAGGAGGACATTGGAGTCGAAAGGTTTCCGTCTGAGTAGGAGTAAGACGGAATATTTATATTATAAATTTGATAAGAGACTATTCGACAATAATTTGGAAGTGAAATTGGGAGATCAAATTATATCATAAGTGAAAAAGTTTAGATATTTGGGAGCCATTATTCAAAATGATGGCGAAATCAGTGGAGATATTTCACATAGGATTCAAGCTGGGTGATTTAATTGGAGAAAAGCTAAAGGAGTTATTTGCGACCGTAAGGTGTCTAATAAACTTAAAGGAAAGTTTTATCGCACTGCTATCAGACTGGCAATGTTATATAGTTGTGAATGCTGGGCTCTAATGGGACAGCAAGAGCATAAAGTTGGAGTAGCAGAGATGAGAATGTTACGATGGATGTGCAGACATACACGTAAAGATAAAATTCGAAATGAGCACGTACATGAAAAAGTGAGGATAGCACCTATTGAGGAAAAAATGGTAGAAAATCGGTTGAGATGGTTTGGGCATGTACAAAGAAGACTAAGGGAGGCATCAATGAGAAGAATGGAACATATAACTTTAAGTCCGATTAAGAGGGGTAGAGGAAGGCCTAAGAGAACACTCTTGAAAATTGTTGAACGCGATCTCTTAATTAATAATATTCCTAAAAGCTTGATAAATGATAGAGCACAATGGCGTCTTGCAATCTATGTAGCCGACCTCACCTAGTGGGATAAAGGCTTGTTGTTGTTGTTTGTTGTTGTTGTTTTGATTTTACATTTGAGCATATATATACTTGCATAGGTTTTTGTCGAAGTTTTGTTTTCTTTTGTTTTAAATCTCATAAGGCCTTGAAGATATTAATCAAAGTCACATACCTAATTTTCAGTGGGTTTAGGTTCAAGCGTACAAAATCATGCTTGTTGAATTAAAAAGCTAAAAGGCTTTAAAAATCATATTGGCCATCAAACCAGATAAAGTATTGGTTTAAGGGTAAATAATCTTGGTTGAAGTGCACTCTTATCGGTTTTGATTAAATTAATAGATTTTAAATGTATCCTAATTATTTTAAATAAGAAAGACAAACTAATAACAATTTTTTTTTAAAAAAATTGGTTTCAAATGAAAAACAATGAAATAATTAATAAGCTGAGTATAGGTAAAATGTAAAAATATAATCGTTTTTTTTTCAATGCTTATGATGTGTAAATCTATATTAATTATATATAGAAATATGATTTGAATTTTAAAAAATTACAAATTTTTTAGAAATTTAAAAAATCCAGTTTGAATGGTTTATAGTTTAATTGATTTAATGCAAAAGTTGAGATGGGGAGTGAAGAGGAAATGAAGGGAAAATAAATAGAGAGAAGTCAAGTTTTTTTTTTTTACCATTCGAATTGGTTCCAAATTTCTCCAAAGAATGGATACTAGGGTGATATTTGATCAAATTAATTGAACCAGCAGGTTTAATTAAATTTTTTTTATCTATTTGTAAAAATAAAAAATAACAAGCCAATCAACAGTGTCATTTATGGGACTTAACATTTTAGTTTTTAAAAGAAAAAGAAAAAAAGGAAAAGAAAACAAGAATTTCTTGTATTGCCTAGATGCCATTAATAAGGGTGGGGGGCATAGTTATAGCTTGAAAAGGTTCCTTAGAACTTGTTATTTTGAATTGTGTAACGTCTCAAAATTAATTTAAAGGTTAAATCAATTAATTAAGCAGTGTAATTGATTAATCGGGGTACTAAGAAGTTAATAATTGGATTGGATGGCCTAAAGATCCTTTAAAGAATTAAGAGTAAAGTTTGAAATATTATTGGACTAAGTTGGGCTTAAAAAGTTGAACTTAAGTAAAGCTATTCGTTTTCGACTGTTTGTCGCAACCTAATTTTAAAACCCAATTTTGTTGTAAAAACTATCAAATTTTAGGCAAGTTTGAGAAAAAATAGAGAAGGAGGAGTGAAAGCTTTGTTAGGGTCCCATTTTGGTGTGTATTTAGAGTGTTTTGAAGCCTTTAAATCGTTAGGTAAGTCTTCTATGCTTTTCTCCTACCTTATTTGTGCTTCTTTCTGGAAGTTTATAAGCTGGAGAGTGAAGGTCCGAATCTAGGGCCAAGTTGCAGTCATTTAGATGACTTTAATGGAGTCTAATGATGATTATTTGCATTTCTAATCATTAGTTTAGGCTAATGATGGCGATTAGAGTTGTTAATAATAGGTTTAAGATTAACATTAGCACTTATTAACTAAGTTTAAGCTCATGCAATAGGTTAACAGTAATACCTAAGGTTAATGATGGTTAAATAAGTTAATGGAGGTTAAAAGTGGAATTGTTTATTGTTAATATCACTAATTAAGGCCTTAGGTCTTAATCGTGATTAAGGGCTAATTAATGACAATTAGTCATCAATCATGTATGATGATTGTAAATTGTAAATTGACTACTATTGGAGCTCTTGTTCAAGATTAGAGGATTATGTGGCGACTCAAGTATATTCTTGGTTTGGTAAACTAAGAGTTGAGGTAATCAGAAGTTTATATATTTGTTGTCTACAATCTTGAATTTGTTTGACTGTTGTGTGAATTGGGTTAATTTAAAATGAGTTGGTGAAGATGAAGATGTGTTCCGCATGATTGAATGGGATTTACATTTGTTACTTAAACATGATTGAATGATGAGTATGTGATTGGATGTAAGTCATTGAACATGATAATATATATGTGATTTTTTGAGCATGAGGGTGATTATGTGACGAG